CCACCGCCCAGTGTCACAACCGCAGGCCGACGCCGCGCGACCTATGGAGACTGGAACGCCGGGTATTCAGGCTGTTGTTGCTACGACTTGCGAGCGCGTATGTTCAAAACCGTCTTACATAGCTTTTTATCAGCAATCAATTCTGACTGAATCTTGAACATTTTAAGACGAACATGGATTAGCCACGTTAATGCAAGCTTAGGACCCCGTTTCATCTACAATCTATGCTCAGGAATTCCTCAATATCTTTGAAGAAAACAGAAAGCACGGAACTGCAGCCTGTGTTACAATTATTGGACCACCTTTGGCGATCAGGGATGTTATTGCATGAGTTTCTGTGCTGATCCGGGGCCAACTGCGCGGGTCAGAAGGCCTCCCGTGTCAGGGAGGTCTTCAGGGAGGGAGGGAGGGGAACAATGTGATATGATATATCCTTTCCACGGCTTCCGGATCGACCAAGAGATCTCGCCCCGTGCCGCCAGAATGACAGCCAGAAGACGCTTCGCGATGGGACGGAATAGCCCTTCAGCTCTTGACCGGAACCGGTAATGAGCCCTTGGTGTTCTTCTCAAGGGGCCTCTTTCCCGGAAGGAAATAATGGGCCTCATTGTTGTTTAGTAGAGTAGAGGTCTCATTATTGTTAAATATAGTAGGTCGAAATAAATGTTTAAAAACAAGCAAGACCATCCCATGTTTGCCTAAGAGCATTCATTTTTCAGAATGGATTAGTGAAAAGTGCATCAAAAGGTTTGAACATGCCCGCCCGCAACCTCGAGAGCAAGGACAGCGATGGTCTGGGTTGCAGCTTCCGTAAAATCGAATGTCGTCGACCACTGCAAGTGCCACTAGACGGCGGGTGCCGTGTCAATCTGTCTTCTGGACAGATTGATAGCTACAGAAACACGAAAAATAGAAAATCTACCCTTACTACCCTGACTCTTCCAGTTCCACCACCAGATTCCAGCACCACTTCGCGGTGCTTTATGAGCCAATCTGCTCTCATCGTGAGTCTAAAAATCGCACAAGTAAAATATGCGCCCAGACTGCATTGTAGATGTAAGACTTGATGTCCCGAAGCGTCCAAAGGTACTACTTTCAGAAGCGTCATCATTTTCTTCCACCCGTTGGCCACGACTCAGTATTACTTGCTGAACTGACGCTGCGCGGCCTATTGAGACTGCAACGCCTGGCGTCGAGGTTTCTTGAACTAAGATTTGCGGGTACGCATGCTCAAAATTATGTCACTCATAACTTGCATTTCTAACCGATTTAAGTGTTTAGTGATAATTATTTCACAACCGTTATCATTTTCGCTCACCGGTGGGCCGTGACGAAAAGTTAACCACTAAGCTGGCGCTCCGCGCACTATGGAGACTGCAGCGCCTGGTGTCGAGGTTTTTGTTGCCAAGATTTGCGAGCGCGTATGTTAAGAGCCGCGTTGTATAAATTGCATCACTAATTGATGAATGTTGAACTGAATGTTGAATATCTCCAGACAAACATGCCTTGGCGATGAGTTGTGAGAGTGGCACGAGACGCCACTAGGCGGAAAGATAAAAAAGGTTGTCTTTGTGTCATAATCATCTTTTACCCACGCTATTTTGTAATATTCCAGCCAAAGGCGTTGGTTGGGGGGGGGGGGCAACTCAGCATGGGGGGCTGGGCCCTCACAAGATAATACAAATAGACACCCGTGCATTAAATGTTTATGATGGCCTTCAGTATTCCATCACAAGCTTGCATGTTTTTGTACACTGTAACCTTTTTCCTTATTCTGGGTGCACACTTTTGCTCGTTTTTGGTACGTACATCTATTCTGTTTACCTTAGGGCAATACCGGCGCGAACGAAGGAGATGTAAGCGTTGGCTCACATTCAGTGCTCTCAACGTTGCCGTTCTGTGGAATGCGCAGTTTAGTGGTTTTGGTTGTATTATGAGGTAAGGTACCTTGGCGGTTTCTTTGCAGTTACGGGTTCATCACCATCATCATGTGCAGCATTAGCACGATCATAAGCCAACATACCTTCTGAGCATTGGAAGAATGGAACTTATATTGTTTGCTTGTGTCGTTTACTATGCTCAGATGATCCAGAAAACATATTTTCTGCGTGAAACGCTTCATATGTGACAGCCTGTAAGTTTGAAGTTCAGAGTTCAAGTTCAAGTCTAGTTGGTGCCTGGTTCAAATTTGGAACCAAGCATGATCCACAACTTTGGTTAACTTTACCCATAATTAAATCACAGACATGTAAACTAAAATTATCAGGGGAATTACTTGGCCATGTGTTGTGGCAATGCCATTTACAATGTGCTAATGTCAAGTGCAATGAAAACGATGGCCTGCATTTTTGAAAAATGGCAGATCACCTCTGGGTGGTATGTTTTCCAGAGATTACCTCCCAGCAGCATCTATATTTTTGGACTCATTGATATGTATTTCTTGAAATTTTAGAACAACACAGATGATCTGCGAGGATCTTGGCACAAAATGACCATTGAAGTGTGCACGCCTAAGAGCTCCAATCATCATCATTTGGTGTGATTATGTGGGAAGGGCTGTGCTCCTGTTCTTCCTTGTCCTGTACCCCCCCCCCCCCCCCAGCATGCTTGACTTGGATTGAAGCTCAGGTGTTGGATTGCTGAGATCACATTGAAGTATGTGATGTTAATTAATCATGCAAAGAAGCAAGTGTTAATGCCTTTTGTTTGAACCACTTAAAACATGTAAATACTGAAATGTGCCATGAAAGCATCCTTCACTCATATATCATAGTTATATTTTGTCTGCCGACATCATGTTTGGCTGATCAGTTAAACAGTGATGAGCAGCATCTTTTGCCATTCTCTAATCCTAATGCATTAGCAATGTCCTGCAAATGATTGCATGAGTAACAGCTGCGCTGGCAAACTGCAACTTTGCCACGGGTTTTAGATGCCAGATGGTTTGATATGAGTTACATATAGGTGCATATAGGTCTACAAATTCCAATAATTTCTGCGGTTTTAAATTAAAGTGTGAATATGGCTGTTTCTGACTTCAGTCTACCATACCATCATCATAATTTCTCACCTACTAAATAAGGTCTGTATATGCACGTTAATCTAAAATTCAATGAGTGCTAAGTGGTTTGTGTAGCCAGTGCTAAGGTCTGGAGAGTTTGGAGTTGCATGCAAGTATCTTTGAGAATAATTGCATACTTTTGTGTTTTGGGTACATGAAATAGCTTGCAAGTAGATTGTCTCCTAGTAACTTATATTATGTTATACCTCCACCTGTTGAGGGTCATCCCTACACCTGGGGTGTTAACTGTAGCATGCGCCAGGCTCTCGTGCTGTGAACTTGTGGGTTGAGTGCACAACATGTCAAGTTACAAACCAGAAGCTACATTTGTTTTAAGTGAAAATAGATTGTTTTGTAACAAAAACATTGTAGACAATGATAACTTGAATATAATGAAGTGCATCCAGTGATTGACATGAATTTTCTATTGCTGTAGATATTCCTTCTTTTCTGAGTGGCATTGTATGCATGATGAGGGGTGTCCATGAGAAGAGAGTGCTGACATCTAAATCCACTATTTATTTCTGATCTAGTAGAGAAATTAACCCAGAATGCTATGTGACACTCCATTCCATGTTACACTTAGGTTAGGAACTCTCTGATATCAGTCATTATGGGGTGAAAAGCTTTCAACATAAATGTTCTGCATGAGTGTGGATGTGTTTCATTATCAGTAGCAGACAAATCTCTATGATGTGCATCCAGCAAGATCTGATGATGGCCAGACAAAGTTCTTAGGTGATGGCTGCCTTGGGATATTTTATTGGTGTGGGCTTGTTAATATACACCTGGATTTTCATACAACCCCACATAAAAAGATCAAGAGATATAGTTAAGGGAGATAAGTGGCTGTAACTTTCATCTTGCTGCTGACAAGCTGGTTCCAGCAGTGGCTTTGGAGTCAGTCCAGGGTACTGATTGATATTTGTGGCATTGTGTCATTTTGTTAAGACCACTGATTCCCTCTGCATTTTCCAGGCCATGGTACAAGTTTTTTCCTAAACACCATCTTAAGATAGCATTTACTAGTGACAATCATAGCCTCTCCATCTTTGACTGCAAAGGTCAAATACAGCAGGCTAGCATGTCTAGAATAGCGGTCTAGCTTTGAGACCCATATGACCCTAAAGGTGAATTCTGTGGGATGGTGCAAAGGCTTAGTTTACACCTCACCTGGGGCCTCTTCCTGTTCCTCAGCATATCACGTTACAGATATTATGAAGTCATTTGGTCAGAAGTGGGCCTCCTCACTGAACCACATTACTGTGCTGTATTGATGGCACATGCTGGTGTGCATGCACAATCACCTTGGCTGGTGGTCAGATTTCCTGGAGGTAATGCTGGTTAACTCAGCTGTCATAGGTTCCTGTGATTCCTATTGCTGCAGTAAATGACTGGTGTCATGTGTTTCGTGAAATGCATCATTTGAGAGAAATGGTCCAAGAAACCATATCACACTCACAAAACAGGAAGAGCAAACAAACCTTGCTGAGTAGTTTTTAGCTAGAGACCTTTTAGAGTACCAGTCATATTCCCATCATAAGGATGGAGGAAATGTCTTGTGGGTAGCAAAATAAGTTGCAACTGTTCCACTCTGTGGGAATGGACGCCGAATTCGAGGATACCCTGCTCTCGGCCAGGAAATGGAATGTGGTTGTCGAGTTCGCTACGGGAGCGGCGTCACACATGCCTAACCAGTCTTCAGATGATGGTTACAGGACCGGTGCTCTCAGGGCCGAAGGTTTCCAGACCACGTCATGCCCCCTGGTGACCTTGGAGCTGTCGGCGTTGTGACCTGGCGCGTTATCGTGCAGCCATATTTCAGCGAGTGCCGGCGTGCGCTGGCCAGTGCCGTGCTCACTCATCTGATGGACCACGAGTAGACCGGCACGCCACCTAGGCCCGTGGGTCGTGGACGTCACCCAGCCGGGCTCCGAGAATGCCCAAACAGCCGCGGGACAGCGGCCGCGTCACCTTCTACCCGTACGACCGGCAGTACGGCTGGCGGCCCTCGATCGGCGATCAGGACGCGCTCTCGTCCCAGCTGTACTCGGGGTGCGTCGGGCAGCACGGGGCGCTCGCGCACCGGCGCCGTGGTGGGCTCGATACTCGCCATCGGTGGTGTTTATTGTCCGCCGGCCATGACCGGCGCTAGAGATTGCGGGGCGTGATGCGATGTTTGTACGCATTAGAATTGGACGCAATGGGATGGAGGTTTCTAACTTGGTGGTTTTGCTGAGCATGCAGCTTTGGGTGTTTTGTGGAGGTGCCCTTGGCTTGACTGATTGCCATGTATGTGCACGGGTTTCTTCCAAGGTCTTACCATTTGTTGTTACTCAGTGTTTTAAGAATATTATCTGTAAAGTATTTGCAGATTCTTTAAATTTCAGTCCAGCATTGAGTAACTGATATTCTTCTAACAGTGTTACCATGCCGAGCAGTTTAAGTGCGTTTTATCAGTAGGAGTTAAGTTTAGTTTTAAAAGCGTTCTCCTCCGACCAACTCGATATTTCATGGAATGACTTTTGGCCCTCGCCAGGATTTCTCCGGTAGCCACATATGACGACGCACAAGGAGGAGCCGTATTCAACCTGGAGTTTTCAGAAGATGGGTGAGTAATTGGTCGTACCAACCCATTGTAGTTCTGTCCGTATGTGCCACTGTGCGTGTCTCACGCTCCCGATCTGTCGGCCAGGGTTGAACGGCCATGATCAGGCAACGTTTGCAAGCGTGATTCTGAGCACAGTCATCAAAATATGTCTTTAATGTGACCTAAGTGGTCGCGTACCTAACCGCGCGAGCTGTAGAAGTGGCCGCATGTGTTGAGCCTCGACGCGGCTGGCGCCGGCCGGCCGGCGCGACCGGCGTCTGACGGCCGGCTCCGTCTGTCTTTCTGGCAGCAAGGTGCTGGCCGCCGCCTGCGAGCGACGCTGTGTGCTGCTGTTCGACACGCTCACGCGGCGGATCGTGCACACCGTCGAGAACGCTCACCAGGGCTTCGTCAACTGCGTCAAGTGAGCGGCGGTTGCTGTCCTGTCGCTGCCGTTGCTAGTGTCGTGAAAATGTCCACTGGACAAACTGCTCATGGTCAGAAAGGTTATGCAGTGGTAGTTAATGTCGCCAATGGACCCTACCACAGCCGTGCTATCCACCCAGACGTCTCTTCCCGAACCCTCCAACGGCGGGTGGTGTACTGTGAAATACACATGACATACCCGTAGACCATACAACGCAGACCGTTACGCGCTGTCTCGCTCTGGCGAAGTCGTTGGCGCATGCGCCGTATGTAGATGGGTCGGCGTGGATGGTCGCGAGTGCCGTCTACGCTGGCTGCCGCCAGATTCCTGGACTGTCGCATGTTCGCCTCGTGCTCGGACGACAAGACGGTGGCGATCTGGGACGTGCGCAACCTGCGCCAGAAGGTGCACTGCCTGGAGGCGCACGCCAACTGGGTCAAGAACATCGAGTACCTGCCGCACAAGAGCCTGCTGGTGACCTCCGGCTTCGACAGCAGCATCTACACCTGGAACCTCAACAACATCGGGTCAGCGTCCGCGTTAACTTTTAAGATCGACCGCTGCCACGTCGAGAACGTAACCAGCCAGGGTCATTGTTTCCGACTGTAACGTCAACAGCACCCCGTCAGTGCTGTCATACGTCCGTAGCGATCCGCAGCGCCCTGCTGGATCCTGTCAGCACCGGCCTGGGAGGCTCCGGGCTCTTCCCGCGCCGGCGGCGCCCCTGATCGGCTGACGTCCGCGTTGCGTCCAGGGGCTGCGAGCAGCGGGCGCAGCATACGCGTGTGCTGCACGCCAGCGGCCTGATGCGCATCAGCCTGACGCCAGACTTCAGCAAGCTCGTCATCTGTACCAACAACGGCTACCTCATGGTGGTGCACGACGTCGACTTCGACACCATGCAGGAGGACCTGCGCGGTTTCAAGGTGGGCAGCGTGACGCGCGCCAGAGAGCGGCGCTCGAGTGAAGTGTTGCATGTGTTCGGGGACGAATGTGTTGCATGTTTTCAGGCCCGCTGTGTCGGGATTCGTCCTTCGTACCGTCGTCTCCCGCTTCCGCCGTAATCACACTGCCCCTCGACAGTAACACCGGGGAAGTAAGTCAGATTTTAGGTGCGCGCCGGCGGTTCCCGCTCGCTGTCAGTCACGGTCGGTGAGCTTCTCGACAGCCTCGCCAGCGCCCCACGGCGGCGTCAGCATCAGCGCAGTGGCCTGGACCTCCGGTTACCTCCGGTTGACTTGGCCCCTGTGCCGCCAGCCGAGCTTGTACAAGCTGATGCAGATCAGCAAGACGCCGTTCCCGGCTGCCGCCCGCTACACCCACCTGTTCGACCTGGGCCGCCGACGCAACCGGATCGAGTTCATCACCGACTTCCCCGAGGGTAGGGCCGGCGCCGCGCCGCCAGGTGTCTGCACCAGCGCTGTCCAGGCGGCCACGCGGCAGCACCAGTCGCGTGCTGCCGGGGATTCAGACATAGGGCACGGCGTAGAACAAGACATGCCCGATCGGCCTGCGCTTGTCACTCACCGTCCCTTTCCAGTGGTGATGCGATTTGCTGCGTTATTTGGAAATCGAATATGAAATTCATTGTCCAGCACCCTGTACTGGTCTGAAGGGGGAACTAGCCACGCTAGCTGCTTGGGAAAATGGTTGTAGCGGTGCCAAATGCTGAATGTTGTTCGGTCCGACAGGGAACGAGGCCGACATGATCGCGTCGCTGGCCATGCACCCCCTCAGTTGGTGCGTGGCGAGTCGCAACACGAGCGGCGACGACGCCACCGAGTGGACGTGCGTGCACGACATTCAGGACGAGCACCTGCCACCGGCCGCGCTCGACCCGGACGCCTCGCACGACCCGCCCGAGCAGGAGCCGGCGCCGGAGCCCGCGCCCGAGCCAGCGCCCGAGCCGGCGCCCGAGCCGGCGCGGCCGGCCGAGGCCGATCCGGTGCGCGAGCTGCAGGACATCGCCGCCACCGCCGGCTCGCTCTTCACCATCCGCGTCAACGAGAACCGCGCCGCCGACGACGGCGAGGCGGCGGACGCGCGGCGCCGGCCCATCATGCAGATCCGCTTCAACGCCACGCTGCGGCACGCCGGCAACGGCGAGGCAGCGCCGGCCGGCGGCGGGCTCATCCAGGCGCTGGCCGGCCGCAGCATCGAGCTACGCGCGCCCTCCGCCGACATGGTGGAGGCGCTGGAGATCATCCGTGAGCACCGACGCCGGCAGCGCGCCGTCGAGCGCGGCGTGTCGCCCGATGACGACGCCGACGCGCAGGGCCCGTTCATCATCCGCGCCGGGCCGTCGCGGCTGGGCGGCGGCGCCGAGTCTGTGCTGCTAATCGGCTCGCAGGCGAGCGCGCGCGAGCGCTACCGGCATGTCGACTTCGGCCACAGGATCGCGCAGAACGTGCCGCGGCTGGCGCGCTTCATCGAAGAGCCGAACCTGCAGCTGACGCACGGCTATATCAAAGAGTTGTGCTTCAGCGCCGACGGCCGTCTGCTTTGCTCGCCGTTCGGCTACGGCGTGCGGCTGCTGGCGTTCAGCGAGGCCGGCCAGGAGCTGAGTGCGTGCGCGGCGGGTGGGCCGCGCCGCCTGCACGAGCTGGCCGCCACCACGTCACATCGCTGCGCGGTCGTGTCGGCCCGCTTCTCGCCGGTCGAGTGTCTGCTGGTGACGGGCTGCCTGGGCGGCGGCGTGGTGTGGCACCAGCCTCGGCTCGCCTCCTGAGGCCGACCGGCTCGCCTCCTGAGGCCGGCCGGCTCGCTCCTCCCACCCGCACTCCGCTGTGATAGGCGCCGCCGGGCCGGCCGCACGCACAACCGCCGGCGACGCGCGGCCGCGGCTGGTCCGTCAGCTGTGGCGTCAGGGCAGGGCGCGCGAACCACAGACGCGGTGTGGCGGCCGGCCGATCCGACGTTTGGAAGCGCGCGGGGCGCACCGGGTGACGCACCGGCCTGCGCGTGACCGCGCGTCACCAGATGCCGGTGCTCGCTCATCGAATGAGTTAATTGGTGATGTGCTGTGCCCGGCGGTTGCGATTTTCTGTGGGCGAAGGTGCCGGCACCTCGCCAGCGCAGGTGTGATTCTGCAGCAGTCAGGGCCGGCGCCGGTCGGCTGTTCTTCCGATGCCGCGGGCACGTCGTCGCGGCTGCGCAGCGCAGGCGCCGGCGCCTCTTATTCGTGTTTCCAATAAATAGGTCATATGTCGTGTGTTGTATTTCGATGATCTTGCGATTGGCATGCCGGGAACCACAAGAGAGTACATTTGCATTCCATATAACACTTGTGGTTTCCACAAACGGGAGGAAAACTCGATGCTAGCTCTGAGCGTTCACATTCCACAATGAGGGACCGAATTATCAAACATCGATAGTGTAATTGACAAGCATCAAAACTCATGACCGCACAGGAGTAAGAAGAAATTGTCAGCAAAATATAGCGCCACCATGCACTGGACAATCGCCATTATAAAGGAGTAAAACACCGCACAGCAACACGACCATGTCCGTCGGGAATCCCGGCGGACGCCGCCCGAGCTGGCGGGCCGCCGGCGCCGACCCGTCCACCGTTGGCACCCGGCTGGAGCGCGAGGCTCGGCCGACATGTCCACCCGACAGCGGACGGCCCACCGCCGACCGCCGGTGCCAGCGCTGCGAGTGTGGGGAACTACAACCAGGCGCGTCATGAGATGGGGATTGAATGGATGACGTCGCTGGGTCCATCGCATGCATTTATGTCGGTCACAGGCCCAAATCACACCGATACGACACCGACCGCTGGGTACATTATCGCCCCCCCCCCCCCCTTACGACACACACCGACGCATCCCTGGCCCAGATAGAACAACCACGTGACTTAAAAAAAAACACGTTCGTGACTAGCATGGCGGCGCGATTTGGCCGTGGTTCCATCATCCACTACCACATCCACTGCGATTTGGCCGTGGTTCGACTAATAATCCAGCTATGTAAGCGTAGCCACAGATGGCGCACGGACGATAAGCCCGTGTTTCGTGCGTTTTACGCGTGTTATTGCACACACATGGAAGCTGCTAGCGCCAGATCTGGCCCTCTAACGCGCGGGTTCCCAGAGATTATCAGCAGGAGTCGATCGCTGACCGGAAGGGCGGATCAGCAGCACACAGCGTAACCGGCGCACAAACGGTGGCCGGGCTTACCACGACTAAGAAATAGAGGCGGGAAAGGCAACCAGTTGTATCACGTAGGCAACGGAGGAAGTTTGCACGAGTGATGAGCACGGTCTTCATATATAACATGCTTTGTCCCCGATGAAATGGTCGTCAAAGCCCAGTGAGGCTGGCAGGAGCGCTGGCCACATGCAAATGTGCTAGTGTGAGCACACAGAACGGGGATCGGACCTTAAACTAACTTGTAGACATCACCTCTGATTTGTATCGAATATCGCTCATCGTGTATGCACATTGGAATTCCATGGATATTTGACATGGTCGCTATTGTGGATCCAGTCGTCCGGCCGACGCCTGGTCGAAGGACGGGCGTCGGCAGCGGCTCACGCTCAGCCCGGGCCGCCACATCACGGGGCGGGCGGCGGCAGCGGATTATGCTCAGCCCGGGCCACCACATCATGGGCGGGCGGCGGCAGCGGCTCACGCTCAGCCCGGGCCACCACATCACGGGCGGGCGGAGGCGGCGGGTCACGCTCAGCCCGGGCCGCCACATCACACCACTTCTGAGCCTCACATCAGAGCGCCCACCGTCCCACGTCGCACGGCACGAACCACGCGGCGCACAGCCGGCGCTGTCGGACGCGTGCGGGGCCCCTCAGCCGCCCACGTGGCGCAAACGGGTACACGTGACAACCTGGGGGACCGACGAGGGTGCTTCCACCTCATGCCGGTACTCCACGGACTGTCCTCCAGCCAGGCCAGCGACCAGTGGTCCCGCCTTAAACACAAACCCCGGCACCATTCCCTGCTGACCGAACAGGTCATCTCCGAGGGCCTATCCACCCGGAAAACGCCAGTTAAACATCCACGGCGGGAAACGACCGTAAACGCTGGGGCGACAGGTGCGGCCCCTGCTCCAAAGAGGGACGACCATGACAGCCTAACAACAGCAGGTCAAAAGAACCTGCCCACACCACTGACGCGCACTAAGCACAGGGCGCAGAGCGGGTGGCTCCCACAACACGGCCGTCCTCACACGTCTGGGCACCAGGGTAACCTGAGCCAGCAGTAGACGGCTCGGCCGGCTCGTAAAACATAACAACACGTACAGCCAACAGCCCAGAATCAGTGCCCCAGGTAAATGTTTCCACACAGGCTAGCCGACGGCCGACACGAGTTCGCTACGTGAACTCAAGCTATTTGCGACAAGGAACACCTGAACTGGCCCATTTTGCGGCAGGAGCAACACGACTTAGTCGGACCAAGAGGTCTCCGGCCTTCGACCAACGACGGCGCGCCGGATACTGAGGAGTACGAGCTGGACCCATGGACGAGGCTGCCGACACCGGGGCAGCGCCGCTGCCACAGACACACACACACACACACACGCACGTAAAGACGGAGACGAGAATTGCACATTAATTGGAGTATAAGTACGCAGATACAAATAAGTACTGACACGGGGGGGGGGGGGGGGAGACAGATAAGCCGGACCCACCACCAGGAAATGGCCACCCACGCTTTGGGCAGAAGAGGACACGACACCCCGCCGGTGGTCCCTGCCCCGTCCCCACCAGAGCGCCTCGCTGGGGACGCCCGGCCCGGACTACAACACTCCTCCTACAGCAGGCTGGGATCGGGCGGCAGAAGGACAGGAGCGTCGCGTGGCGGCTGCGGTGTCAGCCTGTTGGCACGCATGTAGCCGAGGAACTGGGTGGGCACCTCTGCCAGCACCTCGCGCGCCAGCCGCGTCCTAACGGTGGCCGGGTCGGCGCCGGCGAACGCGCGCAGCGGCACGAACTGGACGATGTCGCGCTCGGCGACGCGGCCGCCGGCCGAGAGGCGCACCTCGTCGCCGTCCAGCTCCTCCATGGCGTCGAACTCGGCGTCGCCCACGCCCACGATGATGATGGACAGCGGCAGTGACGAGGCTTGCACGATAGCCTGCCGGACAGCGCTGCAGTCGGTACACGACCTGGGGCGCGCCCGCGGCGGGCATGGCGCGCGCCCGCGGCGGACATGGCGCACGCCCGCGGCGGGCATGGCGCGCGCGGCGAGCGCGACGTTGCTGCGAGCAAAACCAGCCACCAAAGCTGGCCGTGCTGGGAGTTTATGATCCAAGTTCATTTCGGAATTCTGCTTTGAGCGCCGTTACACCTTCCTGGTGTGTCGTCAATGCTGATGATGGCCACTCAAAATGGACTAAAAACGAAATAAACCCAGAACTCGTTCCCTTTGGGCTTGAGAAACAAGGCCTTTTGGTACGTGACACCACTCAGCTCGTGCAGGTCTCTTAGTGTACCGCAATCTGGCCACATCAGCCGAAAGCCTCATTCAGGGTTCAAACGATCCGTTCTTGCCGAAGCATACCTTAAACTAACGGCCATTTTACAAACGAAAGTTCGCACATAAAATCATGGCTTTTGAGTTCAGCCCGTTTGGCTTAGGCCAACTCATCGACAGCTTAACCGGGATTTTGCTCAGAGACGTTCAAAGTATCTGGGCAACCATTGAGGTCGTTGTTCAGGTCTAATTTGCCGATAACTTATCTAACAGGCAGGCAGGCAGTCTCTGGATGGCAGCCTCATGCTTTCATCACTGAAGTTACATTCTCAATGCGTGCCTATATGCTGGTAGGTGTGAAAACATTCCGACACACACCAATAGGCATAAATACCTCCTATTATATGCATACCCCAATTAACACTGACACAATGATATTGCATTGTTTTCATCAGAAAAATAACCAGTGTGGTTGAGTTCCAAAGCCACATGGTACGGCACATTTGCCGTATCTTCCACGGGGTCAATTTGAATAGCATTGACGTCGACGGTCAAAATCCTAATTGTGCCAAACATGAGCAGAGCCGCCTGGTGGTCGTTAAAGACATGGCTTTGGAGAAAAAAAAAAACGCCGTCAGCACTGCAGCTGATGCCGCCACTGGCCCCGATCGGCGGCGGCGCCAGCTGTTGCGGCGTCAAGCACAGTCAGTCAGAGCTGAGGGAGCTCCTCTGGAAGGCGCCGCGCGCCAGCCGCCGCCGCCAGCCGCTCACCTGCTTGGTCTGCGGCATGTCTGTGATGACGCCGTCGGTGATGATGAGCAGAATGAAGTACTGCGAGCCGTCACGGTACTGCCGCGCGAAGTTAGCCACGTGGTTGATGACGGGTGCGAAGTTGGTGGGGCCGTACAGCTGGATCTGTGGCAGGCACTTCTGGTAGGCGGCCACCACCCCTGCCGGGGCGGAGGGCCCCCACCGCATCAGACATGCGCGCTGCACACCGCAGAGGTCGTGCCAGCAGTGCCACAGCGCAAGACACTGCCGCACACTGCAGCGCGTGCTCAGGACCAGAGCGTATCCGCACAAAGACAATTCCACTCGCGCACAGTGTTAGGTGCACATTATACACAGTGCTACATTCGCACAGTTAGTTCTCATGACGTGCAGCACCCTACATCCTGCACCTCATCCACATGCACAGCGCAGTGTACTTCATGCGAATGTGCACGTTCATGTGTACATGTGAGTGTTCATGAGTACACGCGTCTCGGGCGATGGACAAGCCGGAGCAATGACATCC